ATAGTGAACTCCCTGGGTCAGGGGCAGAACCAGCCACAGGAACAGAAGAGGCAGCACACGCAAGGCCAGTGGTGGGGAGGTGGGGCAGCTGGAAATTGCTGGTGAACATTTTCTCAAGAAGATGGGAAATAAGCAGCAGCTGGGATGAAAATGATAAAGGTCTGAGGAAAGAAACATCATCCAGGAGGATCTAAAGAGGACTTAAGCTATCAGCCATGATCATCAAAGAAGAACTACTGCACAGTGAGAGTGAATACAGAAAGGCTGGTGGGAAGGGAGCTTAGAGGGCTTGCCAGGGGCCTGCTCCATGTATGGTCAGGGTGATGCCTCTGCCAGGAGGGCAGAGGACAGTGGGCAGGAGAGCCAAGTCTGCGTCCAGAAGAACCACAGGAAATGAGCACTGCAGGAGTGAGTGTACCACAGGTGTGAGAAATCACAGGTCACGGGGGAGGGAGGGGTATGGATGCCTGAGCAGGAGACATGCAAGGACTTGAGTTACTGCTGAGGGCAAGGCCCAGTTCTGTCACAGGCACACAAAGCAGCAGCAAGACAGAGCAAGGAGCTGCCCAGCTTAGGGATATGACACACACAGAACCAAAGCAAGTGGGTCAGGAATGGGGAGCAAGACAGCCTGAGAGAAGAGGAAATGACAGGCCAAGTGCAGGGTTTGACGAGAGTCCAAGGGTTAGAAAGCACCAAGGGGGACAAGAGGGCATCTACCAAAGCCCCGGAGGAGGGGAGCGCATGGGGAAGAACGAAGTTCCACACAAGGGGGCAGCTACAAAAGCCCCAGAGGAGGGGAGCATTCGGGGGAAAAACAGTCCTATATGAGAGGGCTTTGGGAGATGCCAAGGTGCTGCAGGGAGCCAAGTTTCTTTGAGCAAGAGGGGAAAGCTGAAAATCCAGTGGAGTTTGTTATGGGCAGTAGAAAGTTCAGGACCCAGAGCAAAGTAGAACACTGCATCCGAAAAGGGACACAGAGATATGAGGGGCCTGGACATCACAGAAGGCACAAAGTCTCACAGCTGAATGAACAGACAAGAAATGGGGAGCTCTGCCAGGGCCACACAGAGCTCTGTGGGCATCTCTCCACACCTCCAGCTGATGGGATGTGAGCTGCGTGAACCTCTTAGAACACAAGGCACACCTGCCCTCTTTTTCACATATGTCTCACTGTATTCTTTCCCTTCCTCCCTATCCTGAGACATCATTGTCTCCATTCATCTGCACTGAGTCTGATACTTAGAATATGGGTCACATACACAGCAGAAAGGAGATGACAGAGGCAGGCGGATGACAGCATGGCTTCTTTGCGATACTGATCAACACTGCAGTGCACAGCTTTGCTTATTTTATTAACATATTTTATGAAATATTAATAATATTTAGAGGAACAAAGATGCTTAACAGCCTTAAACCTAGGGCCATCAAGTGTCAATTAAGAACAAGAGGAAAGTCACAGACGGGCATCCCCTCTTACTGCTACACTGATATTTTTAAAGTGGGGCATGAAAATTCAACTCCAAGAATGTAATCACTGCCATGAGCCACAATGCCTTGAAGAAAAAAATTAGTATGATTCCCACAGTAAATCACCTCTTGACATTGTTCAGGTGCCATGTTTTTCAGGCAATGTAAAACTGAGCTGGAAGGGAACCACACAGAGGTTCCCACAGCTTCTGTGATGTGTACCATACAGACCGACACACAGAACACTATTAGCAAAACACCACCCTGAATGTTGTGACGAACCAGTATTGTGATGTGTATTTTTATGTAAACTTTTTTTTTTGGTACTGGGGATCGAACTCAGGACCTTGCGCTTGCAACGCAGACGACGGAACCACTGAGCTAAATCCCCGGCCCTGTAAAGTGTATTTTAAAAAAGTATTTTACTCTCATTCTGTAATTCTTTTGATACAAGAGTAAAAAGTTAAAACTTCTTGTTTCAGAACTTAAAATAGAAAATAATTGTTGCCATACTAGATTAAATAAAATTCATGAGAATGGTTTATCTTACTAACTTATTTCTGTAGTTTCTTTAAAAACAGTAAATCATGAAATATTGTTCTCTTCTTGTTCTGTTCCTTGGCATATATTGATCAATATGCTATACTGAAGCTCACAATTCTTAGTCCATTAGTCAAAATGTCAATTTTGCTATAGTCATTTACATAATAAACCTAAACTGCTTAGCCTATTATTTTCTACTTGAAATTGTCCATAGAGGCTAACCAGAAGCAAACAGCAAAATCATAATAATCATCTCAATACATCACTGAAGAGGGTCACTGAAGAAACTTTAAGGACAACCTATGAACCAGAACAGCTACAAATAGTGCATGGCTGACCAAGATGGCCTAATACCAAACTACACTTAACACTCATTGCACTAAAATTCCTGATCCTCTCTGAGCCCAAGCCATCTCCTCTGTACCATTTCTATGCTAGCTGAGATGGTTTTTTAGCTTGGTTTCATTCTATAACACATTTAACCCTCTAGCAAGTACTTCTTTTTAAATTTCTCTACAAATAATGAGCCACTCTTAAAGAGCCAAAGGACTGAGAGAGATATTAGAGGGAACTGTTCTTCCTGTGCAACAAGAAAATGAGAACAGGCTACATTTTGTTTTGATTAGACTTAATTAAAGTTATTTAGGGCCAGGGATTTAGCTCATTGGTTCTGTCACCTGCCTCACAAGCGCAAGGTCTCAAGTTTGTTCCCCAGTACAAAAACAAAAAAATTAAAGTTATTTAATTCATGGAGCACTGTATTTTTCCCTTTCTGATCTCTAAAACAGAAACAGCATATACCTCAGCTTGAAACATAATCCCACAGTACAGGAGGCAGCTTGACACTCTTTACAACTCAGACATGCTCATCTAAATAAGAAAAGCTATTTTTGTTTGTTCTCCTTAAATTCTTTTATTGGTATATTTTAGGTATACAATACATTTACATTTACCATTGGGTGCTTGTACCTGTACATGATGTATCTCGGTTTTTATTTTTGTCCTCATTACCTATGCGCCCTTCACCCCCTCTACCCTTCCCTATTTACACAGACATCATTTCCATTTTTTTTTTCTTTTCTCATAATTTTTCCTTTCCCTTCTTTCCTTTCCCCTTCCCCTCCCATCACCTCTACCCCTTTGGACCTTTGCTTCCTATTTCAAATTATCAATTATTCATTTTAATCATTTTAACCTTATTTACACTTTCAGTTTCTC